ACTGTTGCTGCTCCTCGTCTCGTCATGCAGGTGCCTGTCCCAACGGTGCCAGCTCAAGCTCGCACAGAGCTACCACCGGTTGCCAAGGCCGCGCGGCGCATCACCAATACTCTACTACGTGACGAGAACTACCCCGACGTTGACTCTTATGCTAGAGGTGAGCTACCTGTTCAGGCCTCTTGCCCTCATGGTACCTGGTAGGACTGGCTAACCATGTCTCTCCTAAATAGCTGGCTCCTCCTCGGACTATGACATGTATAGCACCGATGACGCGCCCGGCGCCCCCTTCAAGAAGACTCACATGTATCCCATCCCCGATCAAGTGTTTGAGCGGTTAAACCGGGGAGAGGTCAACACGCAACTCGGCTTGTTTGCCGACATCAACTACGCGTGGGCTGCTATTGACAGCTCCCTCTTTCTCTGGGACTATACCCACCCAAACCCCGAACTTATCGGCTACGAGGATGCCACCACCACCATCAGCGCTGTCGCCCTAGTGCCCCCCAAACCTGGCGTGTTCGTTAGTAACATCACCCATATTCTCGTCGTTGCTACGGGCACCGAGATAGTTCTGCTGGGCGTATCCGCGACACCTACCCCATCGGGATCCAAGACCGTCTCCCTCTACCAAACAAAAATGGCAGTACATCGCGGAAGCACCGATGTCAGCATAATCGTCGGCACCGCGAGCGGCCGTATCTTCTTTGGCGGTTATACCGATACCGATATCTACGAGCTCCTTTACCAGCAAGAGGAGCGCTGGTTTTCAAGCAGATGTGCCAAGGTCAACCACACACACCCCGGCTGGACATCAGTTGTTCCTAACCTCCCGGTGCCAATGGGCTTCTTGGGCCACCGTGATCAGGAACACCTTGTTCAGCTGGTTGTCGATGATACCCGGAAACTCCTATACTCACTCTCGGACAAGTCCACCATTCGAACATACTTGATGGAGCCGTCTGGGAAACTGACAAAGGTTATCGAAAAGAACAAGGTCTCGTGTCTTAGTGATATGACCCACATGGTTGACTTGAACAGAAACCCATTGCTTAACGAGAGAGTCAGGATCGTCTCCCTTAGCGCAATTTCGGCGCAAGAGGCCGCAAAGTCTCACCTCATGGCACTCACCAACACTGGATGCCGCTTGTTCCTTACTGCGACAAGCGCAGCGTCCTATATGCTAAACGCCTCAACCAGCCTTGCCCCTCAGAGCATGCAGGTCCAATACATCAAGTTCCCTCCTACGAGCGAAGAGCAGCAGGTCCCCCTCCGCAACGAGACCAACACTGCAGTCGCATATGCACCTGCACCTGTAGCAGCTCAAGATCAAATGTCTGGCTTGCTTTCGGAAAGTTGCCTTGGTCAACGTTTTGCTCCGGGTTATTTCTTCGACGCAGTTCGCTCCAATGAAAGTCGCACGGACCTGCTCTTTGTATCAGCCCCCGATGTCGGCAGACTCAAGCAAAGCGCTGTACTCAGATATGTTGAGCAAGGTAATTTCATCCCCTTGGGTGACGGAAGCCGAGTTCTTGCCATCGGTCTTACTGGCAATCCTTTTGCGGCTGCAAAACAACCGCTCGGATTCGGCAACGAGCTAGCTGTTCAGTTCGACCTTCCCCCAAGCGAATTTGCTGTGCTCACCAACACCGGCATCCATATCGTTCGCCGCAGGAGGTTTATCGACATCTTCGCCAATGCGATTCGCGTTGCATCTGGCGATGAGGATTTGGACAACAAGGTTAAGACGTTCACAACCATCTACGGCAGGGTCGAGATGGTCGCGGCTGCGTTGGCGGTAGCATGTGGTCAGGGAGGAGACTCCCGCCGTGCTGTGGATCCTCTTACTGAGGACAGGGCGCGGTCCATCTTTATCAACTATGGTGGTCAGCCAAAGCTTGCGGACGCAGATGTCCTGCAGGCACCGGAGGACAACGTACAGCTCTCAGCTCGCCACGATGCGCTGGTACTTTACCTTGCGCGCCTCACCCGCACCCTGTGGAAGTCCAAGGTCATTGCGATGGCCACGGACAGCGCTTCGGGCGGGTTCACTGTTGGCTCGGCCATTCCCATTTCCAAGCTCATGACGGTACAGGAAAGTGTGCAACGACTAAGGAGATTCCTTGAGCAAAACAAGAGTCTCATCCAGGGCCTGGCCGGACCCTCTGATCGGGTCTCCAGCAGACAAGAGGAGATCGCTTTGCAGCTGGAGCACCAGTCTCTTCACGCTTTGCGCCAGCTGATGGACAGCGTATCTGAGGGCATCTCCTTCGTCCTGATGCTCTTCGATGAGCGCGTAACCGACATCTTTATGCGCCTCGATGATACGTCTAAGCAGCAGCTGCAAAACCTCACGTACGAGGGTTTGTTCTCCCAAGACTCTGGAAAGGAGCTCGCCAAGGTTCTGGTTAAGGCTATTGTTAACCGCAATATTGCCAACGGAGCCAATGTCGAGACAGTCGCCGATGCACTCAGGAGAAGGTGTGGCACCTTCTGCTCCCCTGACGACGTTGTCATCTTCAAGGCGCAAGAACAACTGCAGCGGGCCAGCGAGTCGATGGGCAACCCTAACCTGATGCGCACTTTGCTTGCGGAGAGCTTGCGGTTGTTTTCCCAGGTCGCGGGAAGCCTGACCATGACCAACCTGCGCAATGCGGTCGAGCAGTACATCAATCTGAAGTACTACGCTGGCGCTATCCAGTTGTGCTTGACAGTGGCGAGAGAGAAGGACCGTGGAAACACGGCCCTTTCTTGGTTCAACGAAGGCAAGCCGGCCAACGATCCCCGTGAAAAGGCTTTCACCGACCGGTCAAGTTGCTATTCCTTGATTCATGAGGTGCTTGATCGGCTGGAGGTTGCGTCGGCCTCGGAACCTGATATTGTAGACGGTAGGCCAACCCTCGCTGCCACCAAGCGGGCGGAAGCATACAGCGTCGTTAACAGCTCGGAGGACGAGGTCTTCCACCTCGACTTGTACGACTGGTACATTGAGAAGGGTTGGACCGACCGTATGTTGGCCATCGACTCTCCTCATGTCGTAACATACCTGCAGAGACTCGCTGCGGTTGATGCTCAGCATGCCGATCTTCTTTGCCGGTTCTACACGCAACGGAGCCGCTTCTTCGAGGCTGCCCAAGTGCAGGCTGAGCTTGCCAAGTCAGATTTCCCTCTTGGCATCAAGGAACGTATCACCTTGTTGAGCAGAGCAAAGGCCAACGCCAGCGTCACCACTGTGGGTGTGAGCCGCCAGCAACAGCAGCTCCTCAACCACGAGGTAACCGAGCTTCTGGAAATCGCCCACATCCAGGACGATTTGCTTGAGAGACTAAGGGCCGATCCTCGCATAGTAGCTGAGAAGCTCCCTGATATCGAGAAGGTTCTGGATGGTCCTGTCCAGGGCCTTTCAACTGTGAGTTTTCCCCTAAGTCTGTAGTACTCTACTCATTGCTAACCTTTACTGTGCAGCTCTTTAACGATTTCGCCGATCAGGCCGGATACTATGACCTTTGCCTGCTCATCTACAACGCCGCGGACTACCAGAACCCGCACACCATCAACGAGACGTGGGGAAACCTCATCAGCCATATCCACTTTGAAACCGAGCAGAAGCAAGAGGCATGGCGTCTCATGGAGGCAGGCGAGCCATTGCCCGACGGCGTCGAGCCTCTTGAAGTTCCACCCCCTATGCCTTACGAGGCTGTTGTCTCCCAGATCCAGTCCATTGCCCACCGCACCTCCCTCGACAGCCTCATCTTCCCCGTCGACACTCTTCTCCCCATGGTCTGCGCCTACGCCATCAACAACCACCAGGACGCCTCGATCGGCGCCGATCCCTGCTGGCCCGTCGCTGCCTTCCTGCAGCTGGGCGTTCCTCACACCCTGATCGCCCGCGTGCTGGAGAACATGTTTGACGCCCAGGAGGCGCCCTTCGTTGGCAAGCACAGGAAGTCGGTCGTGCAGTGGATCAACCTCGTCGTCGACTTGTGGATCCGCGAGATCGAGCACCGCGGCTCGGCCTCGGGCAAGAACGGCGACGGCGCCATCACCACCTGGGTCGCTGAGCTGTTGACGAGGGCCGAGGAGGCGTTGGTGGCGATTGCTGCAGGAACCAGGGATCCGGCCCAGGCGGCGAGCCTCACAGCTATCAGGAGGGACACGAGAGACTTGAAGAGGAAGGTGGAGATCCTGTCGCAGGCTGAGGCGCAGGGCAGTTTGTTGTTCAGCACCAGGTAGGACCAGGTGAATCCAATGACTCCCAAGACGCCCATGAACAAGAAGAAGCGGACGTCCTTTAAGACTACGGTGGAGGAGATTCCGGATGAGGGTGGTGCGGCGGCGGAGGATTCGATGATGGGTAGCATTCCTGGGAAGTGGAAGAGGGGCTTTACTTGATGTGGAAGCGGGGATGGCTGTGGGATTTGAGTGTCAACCGTTTTGGGCCTTGAAAAGCACGGTGTGAAGATGGCGTGGCGAAGAGAAGGAAATTAGAATTACGAGAAAGCGATTATTGTTGATTGGGCCTTGGAAGGTTCAAATTTTTGACACCATCCGCCGTGGATCTCTTTCTAGCATTTTGTTGAGTAGATTGGTCCCCAAATGGCTTTTGGTGTGTGGGTAGGTTGGTTCAGTTGGTCGGTTGGTTTGGTTAATGTGTACTGTACATAAAGTATCTCTGGCTTTTTTCATGTTTACTCTAGGTTACCCCGGCCTGCTTGCGTTGGCTTCCCATTTGAGTCTTGGTACACGAAGATGGTTATCAGTGAAGTGATTGAGTTGATGTGGTCCATATGTGTGACTGTTGAGGATAGAGAGAGGTACTTTGCGAAAGCTGGGTCATGTACCCGTCTGCTGGCTGGTCTCCACTTTTACCCCTTTTTCACTTGATGCTCTCTCGGCGTAAACACTCGCACTCAGGAGGGCGGTTTCGTGCTTTTGCGTCCGGAATCATGGGAAAATGGCAAAATATAAAGACGCAGAGATGAAAAAGAAAAAGAAAAAAAATTTGCGCGGTCCGGGATTCGAACCCGGGTCTTCATCAGGATATTTGTGTTCTGATTGCCCTCTGAAACTCGGTCTTTGACTGTGGTTCGACGGGAATTTCAACCCTACTACTCAAATCGAGTGACGCGCTAGACCACTACGCCAACCGCGCTTTTTTTTTCTTGTTGGGAACGGGACTTGGAGAGGTGCCCTATATACCCCAAGCTACCGGGCAGGAGGCAAGTGAAGGCAGCTAGCTGGCAGGGGGCACGGGGCACGGGG